ATACCATTAACTGTGCTCTACAAATGATGTTCATGCCAAGTATCAGATTGTTTTTTAAAATTTAAGATTAATCATGATTCAAATGACCCCTGACACGAGGCCACTATTGAACAAATGGGTAGCATTTATATCAGTTTTGATCAATCAGGCAATACTACACACTAAACATCTAGAGGTTTTAGCTTCATACAGTGAAACTTTGTGTTTTCCTATATAAGTCTATATAAATTAATCTCGAGGACGGGCAAAAATGGATCCAAACCCTGTTTTCTGCACATGGTCTCATTGTAAATAATATTTCTGCCAAAATATTTAAGTTCTTTGAATCGGTTAAAAGATACAAAGCTAATTTTACACATTTTTTTCCATATCTCATCGGCCGAGAAACCAGTGATTACCGATTTCTCCGCCAGTGATCGGCTACTAATTACGCTTCGCCCGAGGGTCGAACCAATGACAGGAGAATAAATAAATAAATGAATAAAATAAATAAATAAATAAATAAATAAATAAATAAAATAAATTTAATTTATTATATACTTGTAAATGAAATATTTGGAGAAATATTGATAAAATAAAATGCGTATTTTCATTTTCCGTATTTTCACTGTGAAACATATTTTCCGTATTTTCACTGGTGTCTTGCCGGACTACTTTCTTTTAAATTCTGCCAGTACACAAAATTTAAGGAAAAGTTTTCAAATTTTAATGTCAAAAAAAGAAAAATGTATATAATAACAGAAAATTCAAGTTTTTTTCTAAAAATACAGAATTTATTTTCATCTTGTGGCATGAAAATTACCATATTTCACTCGTGGCTACCGCCACTCATGAAATATTTATTTTCATACCACTCGATGAAAATAAATCATGTATTTATAGAAAAAACTTAAATATCCTCTATTAATTAATTTAATAAATAAATAAATAAATAAATATTATATATTTAATTTACAAAATGAAAACCGCAAACATGTGTTTCACTGTGTTTGACGTTAAAGGAACACTGTAAAATGTATTAATTACGACGTTAATTACCTGGATATGGTACAGTAAACCACGGATTGTTATCGATGACGTCAACACGTGCATCTGTCCGTGCTCTATAGGCCGGGTGGCTAGGATCATTAGGAAAGACGTCATATCTGGTCAATATGCCGCATATCGCCCAGTTGATAATTATAGAAATAAGAATCTGAAAATAAAATAAAAGAAGAGCTGTCAGACAAGAGGACAGCAACACTCGACCATTTGAAAAGTTGTCACAAGGGTGTTTCATCGAGTACACTAATGCTTACCTATATAAATACGTAAAATTGTTTCAAAAAGGTAAACAGCCTTGTTATTTAGCTGTTTTATAAATTAAACCACTGCTAGATTTTTATGAATGCATAAAATTGTCACAAAAAAGTACAAACTCTTCAGTAGTTATGGAAATACCAGCTTACATACAAAACCTTAAACAAGAATTTCTAAGTTGAAAAAGGGGGCATAATTATGCAAAATATGCAAATCAGAGTTATGGGACTTGTGCCAACTATGTTAGATTATCACAGAGAAGAAGCGTATGAAGTTTCAATCCATTCCCTTCAGTAGTTATTGAGATACCAGCTTACACACAAAAGGTTAACCTGGAATTTCTATGTCGAAAAAGGGGCATAAACATGCAAAAAAGCATTCAGAGTTATGGGACTTGTCCCGATAATTTAGATGATCACAGAGAAGCAGCACGTTAACTCTCAGCAATTACGGAGATACCAGCTTACACGTAAAAACTTAACCACTGGGACGCCGACGCCGATGCTGACAAATGGGTGACTGCATTAGCTCAGTATTCTGCGAAAAGTCGAGCTAAAAAGGAATACCTTTAAGGAAAATGATAAAATGATATGAGCCAAGACTACAGTACTGACTGATACTTTTGCGGAGGCAGTGAAATGTCATAATTTAAACGACTTCATATTTTACTGTTTGACATTTGCTAGCAATCGGTTTTATATGTTGCTAGTACATGTATTTTTACAATTTGAACCGCAAAATATTGAAATCGCTAAAGCTTGCGTTACAAACATGCAGTATAATAAATAATTTATGTACGGACATCTCGTAACACTAATGACATAATTATAAATGCCTTAATTAACAAATTATGTTTTAAGATAGGTAATGCAATGGTCCACTTTTGCACATATAAAAACAACACAAAAGAGGGATGTTTGTACATCCATAACAGTCATCCATATTTAACTAAATAATCTACAGAATGTTTTAAATTGAAAATATGTCATAAGTCAAACATAAAACCCATATAACAAATATTGAAATACTTACTGCAAAAACTTGATGTAACGGATTGAAATACTTCCTGCAAAAACTTAATGTAACGGATTGAAATACCTACTGCAAAAACTTGATGTAACGTATTGAAATACTTACTGCAAAAACTTGATGTAACGGATTGAAATACTTACTGCAAAAACTTAATGTAACGGATTGAAATACCTACTGCAAAAACTTGATGTAACGTATTGAAATACTTACTGCAAAAACTTGATGTAATGGATTGAAATACTTACTGCAAAAACTTGATGTAACGGATTGAAATACTTACTGCAAAAACTTGATGTAACGGGTAACGTATAACTCTGTAACCACCGGAAGGAGTCCACACCGGTACTGGCATGTCATATTTACCAAGATACAAAAACAATACCACAGCGACAACTACAGTGCTGAAATAATACAATTTTCCACTTCACAATTTCCTTGCCTGTTTCTATTGCTATAAATACTTGTACATCATGTGCCATTTCATAAATTTGACATACGTATAACGCCGATATTCATCTCTTCAATGATTAAAGTATTATAAATGTAACTGATTATTATCATATGTAACTACAGCTATCACTGAAAGTGATTTATATCCCCACCAGCAACTTTGATAAGTGTTCTGAAGAAAAATTTGAACTCAACCTATAGTAAATGAAGTATCAACTGTGTACAAAGAATTATTTCAATTAATTGCAATACCAACCGGGGTCTTCATGTAAGCTTCCTATATGCCAAGTTTGATTACAATATCTCACTCTTAACTCTAGTTATTGTCCGGAAACCATTTTCTATCTTTAGTAACAGTGACCTTGATCCAAGAGGGTCCAAATACAATACCAACCCGGGTCTTCATATAAGTTAGCTACACATCAAGTTTGATTACAATACTTCATTCCAAACTCTAGTTATTGATGTGGAACCGACGGACGGACGGACGGACCGACCGACCGACAATCTTGACTCCAATATACCCCCCTAAACTTCGTTTGTGGGGGTAAAATAAACTTCGTTTGTGGGGAATAATTAAGAGAACCACTTACGACATGGATATTGCCCAGCTGACTACCACAAATTTCAAAACCGGTTGAACAATGAATATAAATATTAGCACCAATGCAGGAACGATTGTGAGAGGACCAACGAATTTCAACAGCAGTCCAACTATTCCAGTGAAGCCGAAAAGTGCGTGAATCAGGCCTGCTATCATTAAACTGCCTTGCAACTGGAACAAAAGAGCAAAAATGCGTGAATCATGCATGCTGTTATGAACCTCCATGCAACAAATTAAGAAAACACATTTAACTTCATGTAAAAACAAATAAACAAGAGGGTCATGATGGCCCTGAGTCACTCACCAGTATTTACTGCATTTCAGTGTTGGAAATTAAATTTCAAATGATTTTGCTGAAAGGCAAGTCCAGCTATTTTGGCAAGTTCAACTCAACTTTAACTTGCCCCTCTTGTAATAAACTTTCACAACACTGATTTTTTTCCGTCATAATAAACATAATTTTAGAGCCACAGATGGCACTAGATCACTCATCTGACCCATCATTTCATTATTCACTATATAATTTGAAATATTTTGTCCTAATATTATGGAAAGGCTTTATTAAAAATATCTTTGTTGCAAGTAAGTACCTATGTAGAATAAATGCAGAATAAATGACCACTAAAGTTTTTTTTCATGGGACAATTTTTTTATAACTTTTGTGAATGAATGCACAAAATGTCACATGCAAAATATGAAATGTGTAGATATTTGAAGTTTACAGTTTGGGACAATGAATATTTTATACATTTTATATGGTAACTTAAGTGTACCTCAAAAAGGCAATAAGGTCAAAAAATGTAAAAATATCAAAAGTAGGCTAGCTGATATCAAAATTCAATTCAGCATTACAAGTACACCCCTAGTCCAAATTTCAAGTAAGTTCATCAAAAAATCAAGAAAGTAGGTCAAGCTATATAAGAATATCAAAAGTAGGCAAGTTGATATAAAAATTCAATTTGGTATCAGAAATTGTACCCCTGGTCCAAATTTAAAATCTGAATGTCAAAGAACAAGAAAATATGTCAAATGGTGTCATTGATATCAAAAGTAGGTAAGCTGATATCAAAATTCAATTTAACATAAAAAATACACATATTATAACCTTGGTCCAAATTTCAAGTCTGTATATAAAAGACAAATTTAAGTCAAACTTATCAAAAGTAGACCAGTTCATATCAAAATTCGATTCAGGATCAGAAATTAAACCCCTTGTCCAAATTTCAAGTAAGGGCATTACAAACGAGAAACTAGATCAAACAATATCAAATAATTACATCAAAAGTAGTCAGTTGATATACTAATTTAATTCGCATAAGAAATAACATTCCTGTCTGTACACCTAAAACAAGAAAGTAGGTGAAATGGTTTCAAAAATACCAATAACAGCTCAACTGATACCAACATTCAATTAAGCACATGAAACAGGTTCACCAGTATGTCCTAAAATTTATTGAAATGTGCTTTCTCCAAGTTTGAATCCAATTCAACAAAAATGAAGAAAGAAAAATACAACAATTTTTAACAAAATTCAATAAAATATTGAGCATACAAACTCATCTTTGTAAGTAAGATACAGGAAACAAATGTTATCTTTCTAAAGGCCTAATTTTATTTCCTAAAAATATTCTCCACTCTGACATACAATTGACCCTACAATGATGCAATATGATGTCAAAATTCTAAGGCTGAAAGATATTTACACATTATTTTATTGTTGCCTAGCTTAACAAGATTGTGCTTGTGAACACTAAATAGTACCAGAAATAGATTTTTTCTATACAATTGAACTTTGCCACAATGTAATTATAAGTGTCTAGTGAAGTCTCATTTTAGCATGTCAAATGAATGAATGACAGACTATTCTCTCCCTTACCAGTTCCTCTCCCTGACGGTTCTCTCCCTAACCGTTTCCTCCCCTGACGGTTCTCTCCCAAATTTGAAATATGCAGACAGTTCTCCCCCAATTTCATTTTTTATAAGTTATCATTTTAGTTTTGACTTAATCTAATAATATTTCTTAATGAAGATTATTAAAAGAATGTTTTTGATATTAACTGCATTTTATGTTTATCAGCTGAAAAGTGTTTGTAAATTTATATAACACCTTTTTCAGTATTTTTATCCTATCAACACCTTTATTGTGAGAGATATAGATCATTGGACAGTGATTGATATACACCTGTAATTATGTTAAGGTCTAGCTTGTGATGTTCATTTATTTGTTAAATAGTGAATAAGGTGGAAACAAGTATGTTCTAGAAAATAAATAAACAACAACTGGTATGCAAACACATTCCACATTTACTTTTTTACGAAATTGATTTAAAAACATGTAGTCATTAACTTGAAACAATATATAATACCAAATAACTTATATAATACTTATTCATCAACACCTTTTCACAGCTATTTTAATCTAATCAACACCTTCATTCTTGAGTAAGGAATTAATAAACACCTCAATTATCACTGACAGCAAACTTAAACGCATTCATGTGTGTATTTAACTCCTTTTTTCATTATACAAAAGTTTAGCAATTAGAATTTATTAATCATTTTTTGCCTATAAATTTCATTTTTATTTATTAAAAAAAAATAAAAAAATAATATCTTATGATTATCCTAATCAAGTAAATTATTCATTAATTATTTTCAATGACTAAACACATTAAAAAGTATACATTACATCTAATTAAAAAATCAGAATAATTAACTAATATCATCATTGATCAATTATTATTATATGTTAAAAAAAAATTTCTAATTCAATTTATATCAATTGATAATAAAGGTACAAATTTATTTTAACATCTAAATACTTCAATAAAATATTTTTTTCTCTAAGTCATATTAATTTTTGATAATAAACTTACCGATTTATTGTTGCTGATTGAATTTGAATTAAACATCAGAATACTTCATTAAAGTATTTTTCTCTCTAATTTATATCAATTTATAATAATCCTACCCATTTACTATCAGAATACTTCATTAAAGTATTTTTCTCTCTAATTTATATCAATTTATAATAAACCTACCCATTTATTAAACATCTAAACACTTCAATAAAATCTATTTTTTTCTAATTTATATAAATTCATAATAAACTTACCCATTTATTTATCATCTAAATACTTTAATAATAATGTAATTATAAAAATAAGAATGGGGAGGAACTGTCTTCTAATTTGCAAATATGCAGACAGTTCTCCCCTAAAATAGGGAGAGAACCGTCAGGGAGGAAACGTCAGGGGAGGAACTGGTAAGGGAGAGAATAGTCTGACTACCCAAATGAAAGACAATGAGCAGATATGGTTACTGTTCCGATACAAAGCACACGACCTCAAATCATTTCTTAAGCAAACAGGTCATGACATTAATATTTTCCTTCTGCTATAGAAATTATATTTGGGAAAATTGCATTACATGTACACATGTTTGTAAGACATTCCAACATGAGTTGTTTTCCTTACATTATGAAAGATATACTATGCTCTTCATTGAGTAAATTATTTTTATCATAGAAATTTATTGAAATCTATGAAATTCTTACTGAATATGTCTTATTTGGATAAAAGAATGGATAAACTATTTATGTGAAGCTGCATTCACTATTATAGGCCAAGTAAAGTTGCTCTTTTCTGTAAAAAAGAGCCATTTTTTATAATGAAAGAATATGGGCCTATTCATATTGTGACCACCAATAGTGTGAAGTTTAAAACATAACTCATCTACATGTACTTTTTGAAGACAAAACACGTTTATTTTGTATTTATAAAGAGACTGTGTATCCATTGTCAATATTTTCTAATATTTAATTTGAGGATAGAATATTTTTAAGCTATAATTTGAAGAAATGTCATGGCCTGGGACATTTAAGTTTTAGCGGCACCCGAAAGGGACAATCAAATCAATATGAGCAAACTTGATGAAAGACTTCCTAAGAATGCCACAGACAAAGTTGGTGATCACCCATCAATTATTTCAATAGGAGATGAAGTTCAAAGGTTTTTCTATTTTGAGCTTTAGCGGCCCCTTTAAGAGGCCAATCAAATTAATATGAGCAAACTTGATAACAGACTACCTTAGAATGCTAAAGACAAAATTTGGTGATCATCCATCAATTAGTTCTGTTGAAGTTGTCTAAAGGTTTTTATAATTTTAGCTTTAGAGACAGCTAATAGGGGCCAATCAAATTTATATGCGCAAATTGGATAAAAAAAACTACCTAAGAATGACACTGACAAATTTTGGTGATCGTCCATCATGTAATTTAGTTGTAGTAGAGGTTTAAAGGTTTTTCTATTTTTAGCTCTTTTGACCCCTAAAATGGGCAAATTAAAATGACATGAGCAAATTTAAGTGTAACTGTTACAAGGATGCTACATATATCTGCCCAGCAGATTTAGAGAAGATAATTGTTGACGATGGACGACGGACCATCCCCCTTTCATACAAATTGCTCACCCTGAACCGTCGGTTCCGGTGAGCTAAAAAGAAGAGCGCTGACAACGCATGCTTTCTTTTAACTACAAACACATATAATATAATAATAACAATAAGACAAGAGCATTAAAGATATACTATGCTCAAATTTGATATAAGAAAATATTCATATTTGATACGCAGTCTCTATGTAAATAGAGAATAAACATGTTATGACTTCATACAAAGGTAGATGTATCACGTTTAAAATTCTACAGACTATAGGTGGTCACATTTTTCTTATTTAAAAGACCAACTTTACTTGTCCGTAATAAGGAAATTTTAGTGGCGTTTACGGTGATCTATTTAAGCCACTGATGTGAAAATGAGCATTATTTTTTACCGCTTGGACGTTGGATATTATTTTCTCCATAGGAAATTCCCTTGACGTTGTGTTGTCAGTCGCGTTAAACAACGGGTTTTCTGGAACTGAAACATGAAATGAAATATTTGCAAAAAGACAGAATAACATATTTAAACTTTACAGCATGATGGATTCATAATTGTTTTAGAATGTTGTTTTGCTAAAAAAAGTTAGATGAATTTAAAAAAGAATATGGGTGTAAGCTAACGTAATTTACCCTGTGTGGTGCATTGCCTATACAAAGTTTGCGCATGCGCAAATTTATGAATTATCTCGATTCTGCATTTTATACGTTGCAAATGGTCTATGACAAATCGTCATTTCCCATACATTAATAAGCAGAAACAAGAAGTATCTTTAAAAGTAGACGCCCAAAGGGCAACAGGTCATCGAGTCCGTTTACTGTAAATAGCAAGAAGTAACATCTGACCTCAAGGAATGACCTGGAATTTTAACCTAGTCGATAATATTTAAAGAATATTGATACTATATAGGGGTATGTTTTGGATAGTATAATACTGATTAAATTTCAAGTTCTTGTGCGTAAGACCTGATTTTTGATCTAGCCACACGGTTCTTGTCCGCGATACACCATCTCATGATGAAGCTCATTTATGACAGCTTTAATATTTGAAATTCCACCACCTAGTGAAAGAGTTATGGTGCGGACAAGTTTTTTTAGATTTTATATTTGACATTTAAATATGACCTTGACCTTTGACAGTCACACGTTTCTTGCACGCGACACACTGTATCATTATTGTGAACAACTGTGCTAAGTAATTTGAAATTCTGCCAACTAATGACAGAGTTACGACCCGGACAAACTTATTCCGAACGAGCGAACTTTCGTACTTGCGTACAGACGGACACACATACGTACACCGAACCGCCGTTTCAACTTCAACTTCAACGGGGTTTCTCGACAAAATCCACAAGGTAGACATCGACGACGAGGAGGCGAAGGCTGTACATCAGTGTAGAGTGGCTGTTCCGACATAAATTTTTGAAACTATTTTACACAATTGTATCATAACTGTCCCATTGACAAACTGATATTCCACACTACACCCTAAAAAGGTCTGTTGACCAACATGTATTTACACTTTACAAGATGTTGACCATTTAAACATATGATGGTACGACTGGAACGAGCTGGATGGAAGATTTAAACGCCTCCAGGCTCTCAGTAGTAACACAAGAATCCGGTATAATATTCCAGGTATTAACAGTTCTTGGGAAAAAATGAGTGTTGATAAACGTTGATTCTAGATTGGATTGGGATGAATTTCATATTGTGACTTCTTCGGGTTGAACGAACTGTGGCAATAGTGGGATGGTACGATACTGGTACAGCTATTAAATAGTTAACTACTTTATACATGAGAGTCATGCACGTCTGCCCAAACTCTACGTTGTTGAAGACTGGGCCATTGTAATTTATTTATTAGTTCAGTTACACTAGAAGGATTGTGTGGGTTATACGGTCTATTCAACACCCATCTTGCTGCGTTTCTTTGTATCTGTTCTATCTGTTTAACTTGAGTCTTTTGTAAAGGATTCCATATTGGAGAAGCGTATTCCAGTTTAGGTCTGACCAAACTAATGTAAGCCTTTTCTTTTACTTTGGGAGGACAGTATCTTAAGTTCCTCTTTAGAAAACCAAGTGTACTTGCTGCCTTTTTTGTGATGTTGTTAATATGGTCGTTGGATTTCAAATTATCACTGAATTCAACCCCTTAGTATGGATGCCGGTTGACTATTTCCAAGCTTTCGCCTTTTATTTTGTAGTCATATTTCTTTCTGTGTGGAGAGGATGAAAATTGCATAATGGCGCATTTTTTAACATTAAATTCCATTTGCCAAATGTCCGACCAATTTTCAAGTTTACTAAGATCTTCCTGGAGAGCTATATTGTCACTTTGGTTACTTATTGGCCGATATAACACACAATCGTCAGCGAATAAACGTATACCTGATGTAATATTATCTGCGATGTCATTTATGTAGATTAGAAAGAGTGTTGGTCCGAGGAGTGTTCCTTGCGGTACACCAGATGTTACTGAGGCTATATCAGATGATGCGTTGTCCACTACTACTTGTTGTGTTCTATTAGATAAAAAGGAATCAATCCAACGCCTAGTATTACCGGAAATACCGTAATACTCTAGTTTGTGTGATAAACGTCTATGAGAAACTTTATCAAATGCTAAAGTCTAAGATTGCCATATCCACTTGTGTACCGGAATTAAGTGATTTTGCAATGTCATCATTGTGACCACTATGTCGAGCTCTCTGAAAGCCGTGGCTAACGTTTCTGGATAATATCAAAGTGTTCTCAGAAATTCAATGTAGTATGGGCAACCTGTTTTGTTTCCATAAGTAATTGATAGACTTGTCAAATATTCATAAAATTTTCTGGTATTTAGAAATGACATACAATGCCCGGTACATAACGGGAAAAGGGATGGCGGAAAGCCCGTAAACTAACCGGTCGTCAAGGTAAAAACATACATCCTACGGCCAAAAAAAACAACTACATTAATTCATTTATTAAAAATGTTAATTAACATAAATATAAAACAATATATTCTTTACCTGCGTCTCCTGAACAGAAACTCCCGTCTGTGTTTGCCACTAATAACAGGGGTATTATATATGATGCTGAAGCTCCTTGATATAAGGGTAGCCTGTTTAAAAAAAACCCTTAAACACTGTTAAAGTTACCATTTTCACTATTAACAGTTACATGAAACATATCAAATTTGTTCGATTTCTACTCTGTATTCAAGAAAAGTCCATACGTCCTAACAAAGATGTAAAGTTAAAAAGAAATTTAAAGTGGAAATAACATATAAGATACATATATTAAATATTCTGCATTAAAGTTCATGCTCTTAAAGAAAAGAAACCGCAATTGGTTACAGCAGTAAAACTTGCTGTAAGAATGTATGTGTATGTGCGTGCGCGCGCGTGCGTGCGCGCGCGTGTGCGTGCATGTATGTATGAACGTGCGTGCGTGTTTAATTTACTTATTTATCTACATTTATCTATCTATTTCTGAAGCATATGTTTTGTATACTTTTGTAACTAAGATTTACTCACTTTTTTTTTAAATAAACCAATGAACAGATGAAGTATGGCTTATGACTTACCTAATACCAAATAGATTCATAGCTACTGTAGTTACACCACTCATGAAGAGCGTCGAGCTGAGAAGCCTCGCTTTGAATACGTTGTTGTCTGAGGCGCACACGGCTTCAGCTACTAACAGCGACACAATCAGCTGACCTGACAGAGCTAACAGCGATTGCTAAAAATAGAGGATGATAATAAACGACTATACCCACAGGAGAGCAATAATTATATAAGACTATACCCACAGGAAAGCAATGATTATATACGACTATACCCACAGGAAAGCAATGATTATATACGACTATACCCACAGGAAAGCAATGATTATATACGACTTTACCCACAGGAAAGCAATGATTATATAAGACAATACATACAGGAGAGCAATGATTATATAAGACTATACCCACAGGAAAGCAATGATTATATACGACTATACCCACAGGAAAGCAATGATTATATACGACTATACCCACAGGAGAGCAATGATTATATACGACTATAGCCACAGGAAAGCAATGATAATATACGACTATACCCACAGGAAAGCAATGATTATATACGACTATACCCAGAGGAGAGCAATGATTATATACGACTATACCCACAGGAGAGCAATGATTATATAAGACTATACCCACAGGAGAGCAATGATTATATACGACTATACCCACAGGAGAGCAATGATTATATACGACTATACCCACAGGAAAGCAATGATTATATACGACTATACCCACAGGAGAGCAATGATTATATACGACTATACCCACAGGAGAGCAATGATTATAATCGACTATACCCACAGGAGAGCAATGATTAAATACGACTATACCCACAGGAGAGCAATGATTATATACGACTATACCCACAGGAGAGCAATGATTATATACGACTATACCCACAGAAGAGCAATAATTATATACGACTATACCCACAGGAGAGCAATGATTATATACGACTTTACCCCATCAGAGCGATGATTATATACGACAACACCCCTAGCAGAGCTACTCAAAAAGATGACTGCAAGAAGACGCTAAGACAACTGTTACCTTCCACGTGGATTTAGTACAGTTTAAATACATGATTATGTCCTGCTTTGGCCAGGCAAATGACACCTATTGAAATGCAAGTTTTTTTTTCTGAAAATCTTGTGTCGCCCTTTTGTTTTGTTTTTTATAAAGAAGCGAGCTTTTTTGTTCTCGCGTGAAACTAAGCACCATTTACATTGAATTTGTCTTCTATCAATATTAATCCTCGTGAGGATAATAATGACATGAATAACCTTATTCTCGCATGTTTCCTTCGAGAACTGTAGCTTATTTACAGTGCCGCGCTAGAGACAAGTCGACAAGACGAAAATCCGACAACGCGCCATTTGGCGCTTTGTCGAGTTGTCGCTAGCGCCAAGAAAAATCACAAAAATCCACACACACATTGACAAGACATTCACTGCCCCCAATCCCCCAAACCAAAATAATTTGTATTTTATCATATAGTCAACACTGGTCAACACGAAATAAAAATACAAATATTTTTGTGTTAAGCAGTAAAGAAGTCCTAGATTAAATAATTGAATGCTTTACAATCTTAAATATTTTTTTCCTATGATATCATACTTTTCTTATCAGTAGTTTTTGTTTCGATAACAACTGAACAAATGCTGATGCTTTGGTTTTCATCGAGTACGGTGTTTAACATTGCGTTTAGCATGCAAATAAGGAAACTTACCAAATTCGAGTTCCAAAACGATATCCTTATAATATTGACACATTACATGTTCAGGCTGATTCACTGTTGAACGAGTTTGTTCCCTCGTGGTCGATTTTAGTAAATATGTCTTTCTATTCATGGCCGCTTGTTATGAGTGAAAGTAAATTCTTAATCGGTGCACGAAAATTCCGTGCAAATACCGCATACACCTTACACTGCCTAAAGGCTATGCAAATATTATCTATAGTTTTACAACTTCAACAAGAACATACATTAATTTTCAATTAGATTTATATATTATTAAATGTGTTTGTTTATTTATTTATCCAATTTATATTAATCGTCCTTTTAGTCAAATACAATTGTATTTTCTATAAAAATGTCATCTTACAGACACGAAGAAAACGTTTCGCTAGGACAAACAACAATTTATTCTCGGCCTTGCTTTGGACAAATATTTGCTTATCTTAAGACACTTTTGAAGTAAAACTCGTTTTGTATACACTCAAACGGTAACAGTAAAAATATCACCACCAGGAAAATACCGTGGCGAAAATTATGGAACAGAATTAATGCATTTATTCTATCTTGCTTGATGACATTGGAACTTGTATTATGCTTAATTCTATCTTGCTACATGACATTAAAACTTGCATTATGCTTGATTCCATCTTGCTTTATGATATTTAAACTTTGCATTATGCTGGATTCCATTTTTCGTTATTTCATTCAAACATTTCGTAGTCACCAATTCTTTCATTGAGTGATAACTATTAAACTGGAACGACCCATTTGGAATACTAAAATGTTAACGTCATATACCTTTATGCATAAGCTACCTTTCTTCATGCTCTATACAAACCATTTATGGCTTAGATTTTTTGTATTACTTTTATGTATAAGTCATTTAAAATTGACTATTTTTTGTTCGCAAAGTGTTCCCTGATGGATTTTTTAAAATGTGACTTATTTGATTTATAGCTCGCATGACGTGATTACTATTAGCTTTCTCTTATATCCATTATTCAGTGTTTATGCTTAATAAAGCTCGGTGTCTGAGGCTTTGTGGATTATGTTTGATCATCTTACATTATGTTAAACAATTAAAACTATGTCTAGCGATTTGTGAACTGTTAAGGGGCGAAAACTCTGTTATCGATGTCAACGGACTTTTTTCCACGATTCGCCTATCATCGGAATTTTCCGTATAGATACTGCGTACATGTGTATATACAAGTAAAAAATTGCTGGGAAATGCAGCAATATGATTGTCACGGCGAACCCCCCCCCCCCCCCCCCCACACACACACTCACAAAAACAACAACAACAAAAAACAGTTAAATATATTGATAAGGTATCTCCAAATAGCATTGTCTTGAATTGACATGTTAACTTGTTCAGAAGGTTTTTAAATATCATAATGTAACTTGTTACAAGAGCCTTGTTTATGTAGTAGAGCAGAATAATTATCATTCTTGGGTACTGCATACCTCTTGAGTGAGATTTATCCTCATGTTGATATCTCAAGGGCTTTAGTAGATATGCTCTGGACAAAATTAAGTATGAAAAATAACGAAGCGCAATAACTGAAAAATAATGCACGGTAGGTTAAATGTCTTGTATGCTGCACTCCTCCTTGAGCAATGAGATCTATCCACCTATGAAGTTTCAAGTTGATACCTCTAACACTTTTTTGAGATAAGCTCCGGACAAAAAGTTTGAAAAATAACAAATGGCAATAACTAAAACATTATAAAGGATAGAGTTATCATTCTTGCGCTCGAAAAGATCTATCCACCTATGAAATTTCATGTTGACATTTCAAAGACTTTTTCAGAGATATACTCCACTCAGGTGAAAATTTGAGTATGAAAACTAACATAGGGCAATAACTCAACAATTATGAAGGGTAGAGTTATCACTCTTTTGCGCTGCATACCTCCTGAGCACCTTTGAAGGTTTATGTAGATATCTCAAAGGCTTTTGTAGTTATACCCAGGACAAAATTAAGTATGAAAAATAACAAAGGGCAATAACTGAAAAATAATGCACGGTTAGTTATCATTCAAGTGTGCTGCACTTCACATAAAAGAGAGCTATCCTCCTATGAAGTTTCAAGTTGTTACCGCTACACTTTTTTAGATATTCTCATGACAAAAAGTATGAAAATAACAAATGACAATAACTCAAAAATTATAAAGGGTAGAGTTATCATTCTTTCGCACAAAATTCATCCTCAAAAAGATCTATCTACCTATGAAGATTACATTGACATCTCAATGTTTGTATTTTTTAGTTAAATTATGCTCCACTCAGGTGAAAAATTAAGTATGAAAAATAACAAAGGGCAAAAAGAATTTGGTAGAGTTATCACTCTTGTGCATTGCACACCTCCTGAGTGAGATCTATCCACCTATATGAAGTTTCATGTTGATATCTCAAAGGCATTTTGAGTTAAGTTCTGGACAAAAATTGAGTTTGAAGAATAACAAAGGGCAATAATGAAAAAATTTGCAGGGTAGAGTTATCATTCTTGTGCACTGCACTTTTCCTAAATATGATTTATCCACCAATGAAGTTTCAAGTTGATACCTCCACCTATGAAGTTTCAAATTGATACTTTTTGAGATATGCTCCGGACAAAAATGTAGACGGAAGGACAGACGGACGGATTGAGACTAATTCTATATCCCCCACCGTCTTTTCGGCGGGGGGTAATAAAACATTTTCTTGCTCATATCTGAGGGAAACTCAGAATTTTGCTCACAATAACGAGAAATGAATTCTGAATGAAGTTTGATGTTGTGGTAAAAACTGATTTAAGGACCAAGTTAAGTTATTTTACAATCTGGTGGTATGGCGAATGTTTATTGTGAAACGCATGTAGAAAAACCAAGTCTCATTTAGAGAATTGCTCAAGAAAAATGAAATTATTCAAAAAAAGACAATTTAAGTTCTTAATTGCAAATATAGAAACTTAGGAATGTAATGTTCAAAGACATTTTACACGTGAAAAGATTCACTCCGAGATCCGACATGAGAACAGATAAATCCAAATATGTCGTCCCTTCGTGTTTTCGCATTTTGAGGCGAAGACGCGAAAATATACAGATGGCGTAAATCAGCCACCATACATAATCCATTCAAGGCGAATTTCTCAAGCATGTCGAAAGGATGTGCGGAAATGTGTTAATATAAAACAATGATATTTCGTGTGTTGATAATAAAACTGTTTAGATTCTATATGGTTGTGAAAAAAAACTGTTTCTATTGTTTCTATGTAACTTTTCACGGAAATGGGCTGTACAATGATTGCGTAAAAACAATAATGTCGGCTGTAAAAATCGAAAGGCATTTTGTCACGTGACTTTTGCCCATGCTACCGAAAACTACCCATCACAATATCACGGCGTTGAGACGCCGTGAAATATATACGTACTAAGCGCTCAATACATACATTGCATAATATAAATACAAGTAGTAAAGGATTATGCAATATAATTTTATATAATTATATATAATAGAAAAAAATATACTCGTAAAAAGTGATGCAATGGGGCAGTTACACGTACAGTCAGTGGCGGGTTCAGGCCCAGACTTAAGGGCTGCACCTACCCCCAAATATACGTTCATGAGCTGGGATGGAATATATACGTGTCAGTTTCATGCAATAGTCTTCTTAGTGTACTCCCTTACCAAAACATATTATGCTGTCATCCAGTTGTTAAGCACCTGCCCAGGTACTGCGAAGGTCTTATCTAATGACTTGGACATTAAAAAGCAAAAAATATTGACTTTTTAACTAAATAAATGTCCCAGAGTCACTATAGTGGCGAATAGGTATGCAACACATTTAAATATACATGTATAATTAGGAAAGAAGGAAGTTGTTTATTTTTGTAACATGTGCATAGTCAATTACTAATGTTGGGCATATGTGTGTCTGATTATAGATCAGACATCGCGCACACACCACCACATTCGCATACATTTGTGCTTAATGATATACTATGCACATCTTTCAGTAACATATTTTTATCACAGAAATTTATTGAAATCTATAAAATTCTTACTAAATATGTTTTATTTAAATAAAAACACATACACATAATGTAAAGGAATCTGCTTTCCTTATTACGGGTCAAGTAAAGTTGTGTCTGTCTTTAAAAGAAACTTCCATATATTTTTTTGTAATAACACTATACATGTATATTCATACTGCCCACTTACAGTGTAAAGGATTTAAAGCACAATATGTGTGTGAAGCCAAGTTATATTTATTTTATTTTACAGAAAAAAATCAAGTTTGTACTGTACTAAGTCGTGGCCACGAGTTACTAAGTCGTTTAAGTCGTGAGAACGAGATAACTATGTCGTGCAGACGAAATAATTAAATCTGATTACACCATGATTTTCTGAACTTAGAAAATTTCTGTGCTATGAAAATTTACGTGCAACATTAATTTTTTGAAAATACTGAAGTGTTCACTTAGAACTTGATACATGTCTTTAGAATCATAAGGCCCATAAATCATACACTAATTTTGACTAAGTTATAGCCCTTTGTTGGGACAATTCTATGATAGAATTGGTCATTTTGTACGTACAACGGCCTGTTAACATTGTTTATACCATAACTTGAGAGGGACTTAGTCCTGGTTTATTCTATTGGGTAGGGACATTGCCCATGGACAGTAGATATCCTATAAGGATGTTTGAGGTCATGGGTCAGACAAACATGACACTTCATGTAAAATCATTGTCTGATGAATGCTTTAGAAAGAATAAGCCGTAGTTTATATTACCTAAAAAGATCAGTAGATGGCATCTAATAATTTTTAGGCAATTTTGGTCAGAAATTAGGGTCACAATGACGCTAAATCTTTGACCAATCAATAACTGGTATGAATGGCACTTTTACGGACAGGAGAAGTAGGGGCATCCTTGTTAGGAAAATTCATATAAATAGTGTAATTTGATTAGTTATTTATCTCGTTCGCACGACTTAACTTTCTCGTGGCCACCACTAAACTTTCTCGTGGCCACGACATAGTAACTTGTTCCAACGACTTATTCATCTCGTGGCCACGACTTAGTCATGTCGTTTCCATGACTTAATTATCTCGTGGCCACGACTAAGTAACTCGTGGACACAATATAGTATAATGTTCCCACAACTTAACGTTACTATCTCGTGGCCACGACTTAGTAACCCGTGGCCACGACACAGTATCTCGTGCGCACGAGATAAATAAAAACACACACACATGTCACCTTTGTGCCACCGTAAGTTTGAGCATAGTATATCTTAAAATTCAATTTCACTATTGCTCATACGACTATAACACACGCTTAAAAAGAAGTGTAAACAATTGTATAAGAGGTGACTTGCCACTTGTATGATAAGTTATTAGAGAAATCTATAACATTTTTTTCACATGCTGGCGGAATCTTCAAAAACACGCACTTTTCGTCTGTCGCATCGTGTTCTCTTGTTTTCCAGTAAATTTTCCCTTTACATGTCAGTCTCCAACTAACACTGTTCTGTATACGCCCCTGTATAAAGGGAACGAAACTTTGTTTTTACTCCACGTGCCAAAATACGGGATCATCCGGAAAATAACGGGATGTACCGATAAAGCGACACCTGCTGTCATAATATGAACACAAATTATTGCAACTCGCATTATGCTTACTGCCAACTGCTTAGTGCGTACTTTCACATGCGACTATAATATCGCTATCGTTGTCATCTTCGTTGTCGATGCGCATTGATCATGTATTGCATTATATTTGTAATCGGTGAATATATTGAAGCATATGAATGCTAAGACACATCAAATTCGCCAATTATTGATCAAAATTAATAATTTATTGTGACATAATGTCGACAATATAAGTGGCAGATTAATAGCAAATTAAAGGTACTGACAGAAACTAACCATGTGACATAGTTATATCAAGAACAAGCAAAGAATGTTATCTTAATAAGGTTGCAATTACATGAAAGTGCATTCAGTAACCATAAGGCATGATTGAATTCAGCAAAACGCAGGTTTTCATTGTCATAAAGAAGTATAGAAGCAAGCATAATGTAAGTCCCGATATCATAAAGCAAGATATAATAAATGCACTAATTCTGTTCCATAGAAAATAATAGTAATTTTATGAGGACATGTCTATATTTTACTGATAGAGATAATCTTAACGCTATGTGTTGATTAATTTACAACACCGATTATCTGAAAATTTTAACCAAATCTTACCAGGATAAAATTTAAACCAATAGTAACAACTTCCTTACATTGCAACGTTAAACTTACTTTTATACCATAAAACATTCGGTATTATTCATTTAGAAAATCTAAACAAAAACACTGTGACTCGTAAATGAATTATATTCATATAACGTACAATCACATGTAAAACCACGTGGTCACGTATTATTACTTGTAATAACCATATAACTGTTTAACTTTAAATAACTTGTAATAGCCATATTATCACTAAAACGTAAAATTACTTATATAATTATATACAGAATTTATTTAAGTTCGACTGTATAGGAAGCTTTAAGCTTATAGACACACTTTTTAATCCGTTCCTGGAACCAACCAGTACTGAGCAATGAGTGTAAAGTTTCTTGATCAAGGAAACAACGACTTGCCCCTGACGGGCTTTGAACCCATACGGCTAGCGATCATTAGATTACTAGTCTGACGCGTTAACCACTCGGCCATGTCGCCACTAACTTTATAATTGTTAAACTTAAAATTACTTGTAATACTCATATAATTGTTAAACGAAAAATTATCTGTAATGGCCATATAGATGAAATCATAAAACGTAATTTTTTGTTTTGTTTGTTTGTTTTGGGTTTTACGTCACATCGACACAGTATAGGTCATATCGCGACGTTCCAGCTTTACTGGTGGAGGAAGACCTCAGGTGCCCTTCCGTGCATTATTTCAGGCACGAACGGGTACCTGAGTAGAACCACCGACGTTCCGTAAGCTAGCTGGATAGCTTCCTCACATGAAAGAATCCAAAGTCCCTGTCGGGATTCGAACCCACAGAGGTAATTTTTTTTTTGAAATAAAGATCATATAACCATAAAACGTCAAATGGGTTGTAAAAACCATATAACCATAAAATGTCAAATGGGTTGTAAAAACCATATAACCATAAAACGTCAAATGGGTTGTAAAAACCATATCACCATAAAAGGTCGAAGCAGTTGTAATAACCACATAATCGTCAAACGTAAAATTATCTGTTACACATATTTTGTTGTTGTTGTCGTCATTCTGCAGACGTTCTTCGGGGTATCGGAGACGCTTTGTTCGCCTATGGAAGACCGTCCAAGTCAGAAAAAAATCATAAAAATACCGTGATAAAACTCCGTTTTTTACAATGTTGCGCTAATTAGATTTTGCTAGACTTTTGATATGATTTATTTCATTCCATATGCTTTCTGTAGCAGGCAAAAAAATTTCGGTTGCAATTTGTTTGAGGTTAATTTACAGACTGACTGGACTATGTATGATAATAAAACGTCAAATCACTTGTAATAATCATATAACCATAAAACGAAAAATTACATTTCATTACCATATAACCTAAAACCCTGTGTAAATGATTATAAAAAATACAACAGTTAAGCGTATTATAACTCATTAAAGTATGAAAATGTTTTCTTTTTTATATATACAATGACAGCATTAAATATTGTATAAACACGATACGTTTATTTACAAGTAATGCACAAAATTATTTTCTTTAATTACCTGTAATGCACATATAATTGTCACATATATCGGAGGGGAATCATTGATTCCGTATATAAGATATTTTTCAGCTTTATTCTCTATCTCTGGTTCCACAAGCATCTCAGATTTCTCGTCGACCTCATCTATTTCAAACATGGCCGTCGTGCCATTAACGTCTTTGTCGGTTTCCTTTGACATTTTCTTTTGCTAGTTTAGTATCCCTTTTACAATATAAATATAACTTTTAAAAACAATGTTCACATCGATACCGCAAACTATATGTAAGAGTGTATCTCCTTTTAAAAAGGGGAACTTAAACTGAGAAGGTTTACATAATGTATGTCCTTTAAATGTCATAACAGTAACATTGAAACAGATTACACTATTATGAAATTATATTTAAATGGTACCACAAACTGGAACAACTTCGCATCATAATATGCATCGCAGGATTCTAGTAAAATATATTCATCATCACTGACAAAGTGCAACTAAACGAGACAAATTTTTATCTACCCCTCTGACCGATAGTTTACAATATCGCGTGACGATATCCATGGCTCACGTCGAAAGTTTCTTACTGAACAATAAGAAATATTTAATAATAAAATACTGATAATAAAAAAAACCACATTTAAAATAGTTAAACTATAATTTTGTTTAAGATTGAATGCAAGTGGTCATAATAACTTACCTGTGTCATTGGTTTGCCTATTAAGGTCAGCTCGCGCATACCCATGCAAT